CACTACCTGAGCAGAACACTCACTGCAGCTCCCCACACCTCCAATAACCCACACTGCTTGAGCAGCACACTCACTGCAGCTCCCCACACCTCCTATAACACACACTACCTGAGCAGCCACTGCAGCTCCCCACACCTCCTATAACCCACACTACCTGAGCACTCACTGCAGCTCCCCACACCTCCTATAACTCACACTACCTCAGCAGCTCGCTTACTGCAGCTCCCCACACCTACTATAACCCACACTACCTGAGCAGCACGCTCACTGCAGTTCCCCACACCTCCTATAACCCACACTACCTGAGCAGCACACTCACTGCAGATCCCCACACCTCCTATAACCCACACTACCTGAGCAGCACACTCACTGCAGATCCCCACACCTCCTATAACCCACACTACCTGAGCAGCACACTCACTGCAGTTCCCCACACCTCCTATAATCCACACTACCTGAGCAGCACGCTCACTGCAGATCCCCACACCTCCTATAACCCACACAACCTGAGCAGCACGCTCACTGCAGATCCCCACACCTCCTATAACTCACACTACCTGAGAACACTCACTGCAGCTCTCCACACCTCCTATAACACACACTACCTGAGCAGCACACTCACTGCAGCTCCCCACACCTCCTATAACCCACACTACCTGAGCAACACACTCACTGCAGCTCCCCGCACCTCCTATAACCCACACTACCTGAGCAGCACGCTCACTGCAGCTCCTCACACCTCATAACTCCCACACTACCTGAGCAGCACACTCACTGCAGCTCCCCACACCTCATAACTCACACTACCTGAGCAGCACACTCACTGCAGCTCCCCACACCACCTATAACCCACACTACCTGAGGAGCATGCTCACTGCAGCTCCCCACACCTCCTATAACCCACACTACCTGAGCAGCATGCTCACTGCAGCTCCACACACCTCCTATAACTCACACTACCTGAGCAATATGCTCACTGCAGCTACCCACACCTCCTATAACTCACACTACCTGAGCAGCACACTCACTGCAGCTCCCTACACCTCCTATAACTCACACTACCTGAGCAGCACACTCACTGCAGCTCCCCACACCACCTATAACCCACACTAACTGAGCAGCACACTCACTGCAGCTCCCCACACCTCCTATAACTCACACTACCTGAGCAGCACACTCACTGCAGCTCCCCACACCTCCTATAACTCACACTACCTGAGCAGCACACTCACTGCAGCTCCCTACACCTCCTATAACTCACACTACCTGAGCAGCACACTCACTGCAGCTCCCCACACCACCTATAACTCACACTACCTGAGCAGCACGCTCACTGCAGCTCCCCACACCTCCTATAACACACACTACCAGAGCAGCCACTGCAGCTCCCCACACCTCCTATAACCCACACTACCTGAGCCGAACACTCACTGCAGCTCCCCACACCACCTATAACCCACACTACCTGAGCAGCACACTCACTGCAGCTCCCCACACCTCCTATAACTCACACTACCTGAGCAGCACGCTCACTGCAGCTCCCCACACCTCCTATAACTCACACTACCAGAGCAGCCACTGCAGCTCCCCACACCACCTATAACCCACACTACCTGAGAACACTCACTGCAGCTCCCCACACCTCCAATAACCCACACTACCTGAGCAGAACACTCACTGCAGCTCCCCACACCTCCAATAACCCACACTGCTTGAGCAGCACACTCACTGCAGCTCCCCCCACCTCCTATAACACACACTACCTGAGCAGCCACTGCAGCTCCCCACACCTCCTATAACTCACACTACCTCAGCAGCTCGCTTACTGCAGCTCCCCACACCTCCTATAACCCACACTACCTGAGCAGCACGCTCACTGCAGTTCCCCACACCTCCTATAACCCACACTACCTGAGCAGAACACTCACTGCAGTTCCCCACACCTCCTATAATCCACACTACCTGAGCAGCACACTCACTGCAGATCCCCACACCTCCTATAACCCACACTACCTGAGCAGCACACTCATTCCACTACCTAAAAAAAACTGTTATCTCTTTTTAATATGCCTGGTCTTTGAATTGAGAAGGCTGCACAGCCTCATATCTGAACCCCAACTTGTACCCAACCGCTCTCTACTGCCTGGAGACAATCCCCATACAGAAACTAGCAAACACATAATAAATATACAATACCGCAAAAAAGTAATACACAGTACATTATTAAAGCAAACAAAAAAATATTGCTCAAACGTGGCCATGTTAGAACTTGCTGACAGCTGGATGAATTCTCTTCCAAACTGTTTATTTCTCTGTTACAAAGTAATACTGACCTCATTGATCTAAAGATGTTAAATATATGGAATGTATAGCGCTCAGATGGAGAAAATATGGCATTAAATCTATATTGCGCCCTTTAATCTAAAGGTCTCTCATTACGTGAACCCGACCCTTTGTTTCCAATACGCCTGCGACCCTTTCTGTGGAGTGAAATTAATTTATGGCGCTATGCAATAAAAAATATATTGTATAATATATGTAATAAATAATATATAATGTAATGAATGATATATATGTATTATATATATAATGAATGTTATCGGTGTATAATATATGTTAAAATTAAATATTTATTTTTGTAACAATGTAACTGAAAACACAAAGTGCAATTTATTAAATTCTAACTGATTTGACTATTTTCAAACAATGGCAGTTTGGGACGATGTAAATCAGAGAATTATATGAGGAGCAATAATTATTTATACGTTAATTAACTATCTCACGTTCGTTAACAAAGCAAATGACAGTTTATTTAAGGCAGACAGGGCCATATTCCTCCCAGTCTGTTTGAAATAACCTCTTTTTTGGGGATGTTGTATAAATCAGCAGTCGATGGTTTATTAACAGCCAATTTTTACCTCTTTAATACACAGTATCCAGCAATGATTTACCAGAGAGACGTCCCCAAAGGGCCACACTATCTGTATTAGCCTCGGGGAGGAGGGAGAGACCGTCCCAAATGGGAACAAAACTGAGGACCAACAGGTAGGGGCTCATGTGTGCCTAGTGCTCCTGGAACAAGAACATCATTTGGGAGGGAGGTTTCAAAGCTGTGCTTAATTAGGTGGAAGGGGTGTTTGCCTGACCTCTAATAGAAGATCACAGCGACAGGGGCTTAAATCAGGATGGGATGGAAAGGGAGCCAATTACTTGCATGTCTGCATTATGTATTAACCCATCTGGCTGGGAATATTAGGTCTGAAGTGTGAACAAAAGAGTGGATCTGTCAGTGATCACACACCATATTATCATGTCTCTGCTCTTTTGTTCCCAAAAATAAGCAATTGGCGGGGGCAGCTGCCTTTGTAAACTAAGCAGCCGAGCGTCAGAAAGCCATTCTCCTAACAAAGCCATTATTTCCGATTCCAGTTAAGCTATTTGTTTTAAGTTAGGAGTGTGATACTGTGTGCTTTAATCCGCTGTCCAAACATTGCAGCGATCGGCAGGGCCTGGCCCAGGGAAAGTTAGATCTAAAACTAGTGTAACGCGAAACTTAATAAGGAAGAAACATTTAGTGCACAGCTAAGGAGATTACACAACTGCTACAACTAATTATTGACCTATTCAGTAACCCTGGGACATTACAGAACATTCAAACAGTCATATTGGAGAAATGTGTACGATGTTTGCTATTTCATAAAATGGGAAATTCTCGGCAATGCCAGGTTTAGTGAATAAATCCCTGTGTGAGCGTGATGCCAAAGTAGTGGGGCATGGGGTTGGCTAGGAGTCATTGGACATTGCAAGTAACGGGATTTATAGGACAGGGGGTCGGCTGAGAGTCATTGGACATGGGAAGTGATGGGATTTATAGGACATGGGGTCGGCTGAGAGTCATTGGACACAATAAGTAATGGGATTTATAGGACATGGGGTCGGCTGAGAGTTATTGGACATGATAAGTAATGGGATTTATAGGACATGGGGTCGGCTGAGAGTCATTGGACATGGGAAGTGATGGGATTTATAGGACATGGGGTCGGCTGAGAGTCATTGGACATGGGAAGTGATGGGATTTATAGGACATGGGGTCGGCTGAGAGTCATTGGACATGGGAAGTGATGGGATTTATAGGACATGGGGTCGGCTGAGAGTTATTGGACATGGGAAGTGATGGGATTTATAGGACATCTGGTCAACTGAGAGTCATTGGACATGATAAGTAATGGGATTTATAGGACATGGGGTCGGCTGAGAGTCATTGGACATGGGAAGTGCTGGGATTTATAGGACAGGGGGTTGGCTGAGAGTCATTGGACATGGGAAGTGCTGTGATTTATAGGACAGGGGGTTGGCTGAGAGTCATTGGACATGATAAGTAATGGGATTTATAGGACATGGAATTGGCTGAGAGTCATTGGACATAGGAAGTGCTGGGAATTATAGGACATGGAGTTGGCTGAGAGTCATTGGACATAGGAAGTGCTTGGATTTATAGGTAAGGGAGTGTGCCAAGATTCATTGGACACAGGGAATGAAAAATGTTAGGCCTGGTACTGTGAATTTTTTAACTCTTTTTTAGGGGCGTTATTCCTAGCCTCACTGCCGTGCCTTTACACTTTCTTTGATTTCCCTTTTTCTGCAGCTGAAATCGGTGGATTAGAGTCTGTGAGTGGAGGTGTGGGCATTATTTGGCGCCCAGACCAGTCCCTTGATGAAGGGAATAAATCCAATTAATTATTCCTGTAAAAAGTGTTGCATCTTTCTACATTGTAGCAGCCACATTGATATATTGTTACAATTCAATTAATCTATTCTAGAGATATCTTCACATCAGAATTTTATGGAGTCAGCAAACGTGTTTTATATTTTCCCATTAAAGGATTTGTCTCTGATTTTT